AGATTACATCACCATCAACTGATCCCATTATTCCCTAATAAGTGTACCTTAAGATGTATATGATTGAGAAATATTCAGTGATACCAACTGCTGAGTTAGAAGAGAGAACCAAACATTGTACTAACATTTAAAGCACAACTACAAGCTCTTTACACCTCTTTTAGGTTAAAACAATTTCTTGAGTAATGTAAAAGTCCAAGACCTAAAAGTACAAATAAGCCTGAGAGAACTTAAACTTTCAGACCTCCAGAGGTTCCAGCCAACCTCAACTGGCTTGTGACTTTGAGAAACATGGAGAACCAGGGAAACTGAACAGCAGCAGAGAAAGCTTCCAGCCCTATTGAAAGGGCTGAGTTGGGAAGCAAGGCTCCTCCTCACCAACTTCCCTTAGAGAAATAACTGCATCAATCTTCTAGCAATTAGAGAAAATTAATTGGGGGACACTTGGCATTTATACTGCAGAGCATCAGGACTGACCCATACCGCAGCTGCCAACCTGCTCTGGCAGCACTGAGTGCTCTTGGTTGGGGTACACAGCGCCTGCTGTCTGTTCCAGAGCACTTATCTCACCTTTAAGGGACAGAAACAGAGCAAGCACTCAGACACCAATCACATGAAGGGCTTGGGGCACTTTGCATCAATAAGCATTCACAAAGACACCACACATCTTGCTAAACCACTCACTTAAGATTTCTCTTCTGGTGGAATCACACCATTACAAACAGGGAGGTGAAGCCATGGTAAGCTGATTTCTGTCCCCCCTTCCAAAGAAGAGCCCCACGTATTTGCAGACAAGTATGCACATGCCCCCTGGATATTCTCAGCCCCCAAAGATTCCAGCCTGACTTGCTCTGGACCACTTGGCATGTGATAGCAGCCATGCACATTTGGCAGAGACATTTTTAGAAGCGTCCAAGCTATGAATTCACCCTTCCATTTTGGTAAAGCCAGTTATGTGGAAAGCATTTCCAAAGCAGGACCTCACATACAGACTTGATTTCCCCTCAATTCTTGGAAAGGGGGTGGGGGGGAATTATGAAAAAATAAATTCAATAATATTACTCCTTTGTTTTCCCACAGAGTTATCTTGCATTATTCCTGTATTTGCTGACACTATAATTGATAACAACACAATTATAAGTCAAATCAGTCTTTTCAGCACAGTCACACATTAGAACTATTTCAAATTCTTTCCCTCAGATCCAAGTTTCACTGCAAACATAAAAGACAACTTTCCTTGAAAACATACGTGTAACTAGATGCTTAGGAATTGACCTTCACACTTCAGGGATGTACTGGGGAGATACCCATGACACCAGCTATGGCAACACTGGATATCCGGCAGGTGCCTGCTCCTTGACCTTTCTGCTGTAGACATACTGGAATGGAGACCAGGATCACTTCCGCATCCACAGCCTGCTAACCACACACTAGCAACACAGCTAAATATCCAACAATGTTGTTTTGCTCCTGACACACTAGGGTCAACTTCCCATCATTTTCCTTTTCCATAGGTGTTCAGAAACAGCAAACCAACCTCAGTGGTTGGACTCCATAGGCAGGAGCTGACACAGACTCTCACAAACCAGCAAGCTCTAAACCTCTAAATGCGCTGAGGCATCAGAACTGCCCCATCCTCACCCCCAAGTGGCTCCAGCTGCACAGCAAAACACCCATAGTCCTTTAAATGGCCTCAGCCCCATTTGCTGGAGGACAATTCACCACCACCGAGCTGATGAGCAGGAGTTCATTAACCCACAGCTGCTTGATTGCTCCCAGCTGCTTGTCTCAGACCCTGAACTCCACAGCAAGATTTCAGGCCATTTTTAAACTCACAGTAGCTCGTTGCTCCTCCTTTTGAAGGAGCATTACTCTTTGAAGGAAAACAGTTTTCACTACAACGTTTCTGCCACAGTGAATCCCACCATCAGCTTGCAGCGACCACATCCAGTACCTGTTTGCTTTTGCTTGTGCACGAACCCTCCTGCATAGCCATAGACACTTCTGCAGAGCCCTCTTTCTTCCTCTGAAGCTCCCCAAACACATTCTGTAGTCATGGAGCTCCTGTTCTCAGGAGGACTCCAACTCTTAGCCCCAAGTCATGCCTGAGTCCAAAAGTGCAGAGGGACCAGAGAGGATCTTTTTCTCACCATCCCTGAGGCACTTGTCAGGGCAAAGCTGAAGAGTGAAACACCTAAGAAAACATTACCCCTTTCCAAATAAACAAGTGTGATGCCAGTTTTTACCCTTCACAACACAACCTCAGGCATATAGCAGAAGTAAGACCTTAAAACACACCAACCTTATCTTCACAATCAGAGCTGGCCACAGAAACCAGTGTGCTGCCCCAAAGGCAGACAGGGCAAAGTCCTCCTGTGGACACAGAGCTGCACAAGCCTAACTTTCCCTTGACAAACGTTACAAATATCAGACAACAAAAACCAAACACAAGCACCTCCTCTTCCCATGGTACTGCTCCCACTCACTTATGCAAAAAATCAGATCTAGAGACCTACCTTGAAGCCAGGAACGAGGCCTGCAGGTGAGGAGCAAGCCAGACACCATGCTGCAGCCTGCAGAGATGCCATGTGAGCACACCAACCCAACCATCCCCAGCTTTGAGCTATATGGGCTGATTGAGGCATCCACCCCACTGTGGTTTGGGAGGAACCCAAGGCACCTACCACCAGCTCTGGCTCTGCTCCAGCACCCAACCACCAGGCCAGGGTGTCTGTTGAGATACCACTGGGGGTGCTTGGCCCCACACATTAGGGATTCACCAAATCACCCCTCCCACGGCAAAGAGGAAATAACATTGATCTTGCTGTCTCTGCTGATTATTTCTTTTCATTCTCTGGCCCATCAGGAGCCTGGATACTTTGTGGCTGCTGATGGAAGGAAATGGGTCAAGTACCAAGTGCTGCAGATCAACCCAGGGATTATTTCAACTCTTCCCCTCTCCCAAATTGTCCAGTTGTCCTTGATCTTTTTTCACGTATTTCCCGTCTCTAAGGACTGTAAATTGACAGTTTAGACAGAGCAGGTGTTTGCAAAAGGACTAGATTATTTGTTTAATGAAATCCAGATGCAACACAAAGCAAATGCCATAAGGAAGGTCCTCGGAAGTTATTTGTTTGCCCTCAGAGTGTTCCAGCAGGTCAAGGTCTGAAAGCTACGATTTCAGTAAGAGGAAAACAGAGCAAAACCCAAGACATTCAGCAACAGACCTTTGCTTTTCCCACATTACAATCCCCACCCAAAAATATCATCCCTTTGAAACAAACTTTACTGGAATTCTGAGTGCTGTGAGAATGCTGCTGCTTTTTTAAGGTTGATCTGTTCCGAGGGGAGCACGTTGCAGAGATAACCCAGTGTAACTTCCTGCAGACAGTCGCGCTGCATTGCTGCTGAGCGTCCCGGTATCTCAGAGATTAGCAACAACCTATTTTTACATTGCATCCACACGAGGGAGGAAACACTGAGGCAGCCAGTGCCTGACCACCTGCAGAGACAGTGTTTCACAAACATGAGACAGTTTCTGAGCTGGCTGAAAAAGCTAAAGCTGGGCTGCTGTATCTGACCTAGGAGCAGTAAGGAGCCTTAGAATCATAGACTGGTTATGGTTGGAAAGGACCTTAAGATCATCAAGTTCCAACCCCCTGCAATGGGGAAAAAAAATCCTGAAAAGGGAACCTTACTGATGTCTCTGCAGTTGCATAAAACAGCTCTGCACTGCTGATATGGAAAATGGGAACTGCTGACTGAGCAGCAATTCATTAGAAATATATTTATAATCTCAATGACCTTCATGCCTTAAATACTGTGTTTAAACCGTATTTCCCAAGACTAGGGGACAGGTGGACACACTTTTATCACCCTCTGTATGTTTGTACCCATCTGGGCAGGGACAAGCGGGCTCCAGCAAGGGCAGGAGCCAGATGCTAGAGATAATAGGTGTGAAATGTAACAGTCCACATCACTGAGCTGAATGAAACTTGCTCCACTGTAGCCCAAACTTGCAGACTACATGATGCTCCTTGGTTAGCAGTCTGCTCATCAGACTTCCTCCAAAGCAAGGCTTTTGCCATTATTAGAAAGCACACATGTTGACTTTGTGCAATGTATGATTTTTGAGCTAATTCCTCCCTTATTCAAAAGATAATCTGCACACTTGTCAGTTTATTTCAATCTGTATGTAATTCTGCATCCCATGGAAAGCCGTAGGAAAGCTGCACCGAACTACAATAAGTGATCAGAAAAAGCCACGTCCATTCTGTCTGCATATTACATGACTTCAAGGGCAAGAAAAGGCTCCTGAATCCCATGCAGTGGTGCCCTCTGTGGGATGCACCAACCCTAGTGCAGAGGTTTCCAGCCCCAAGAGGCTCAGGTATCAACTGTCCATGCAAAGCCGTCGATTCTGAACTCCATTACAAATTTCAGCTTCTCTTGTTGGTGCACGTAGCCACAGAATCACCACTTCAACTGCCCTGTGCTCCTGCTTGGATTACTACAACATACCACCACATCAGTATTTAACCAAGGTTGCAGCAGGTGCCAGCAAAAGGGTAAATCATGATTACTGACAAGATCTAGCAAATTAATATTATTACAGTGACAAAGTAATAGACCTCTCTGAACACTCTACTGACAACTACAGGGGTAACCTAGTCTCAGTTGTCACAAACTGCTATACTGCAATTTGCTTCATGATGTATTTCTTTGGGTACCTATAAGCCCTGCCTTTTAAAAAAGTTTATTTCTAACTACTAAATTAAGGTGGTATTTAAGCATTCTGTGAGAATTTCCTAAACACAATGTCAACTTTACCAGTCAGCTCTGAGAAATACTGAAACAATTTCCAGAGAAGATAACAACATCAGTTTTAAGAACACTGCAGTGCAGATTTTGGTACTTCAAGGCACTACATGGAGTATGGCAGTTTGGTATTTATGGTATTAAGTCAGTTGCCATTACTAAAGCATAAGAGAGAGGGAAAGTAATCATTGTAGAGGATTTTACTGAGGAAAGATCAACTGTATTAGCAATAAAAACTTTCCACTGCACAACTTGGCAGTATTTTGCAAATACAGATTATCAAGTAGAATTTTAGGAAGAAAAGGAGAAGAAAGGCTTTGGATTTCAGCAGATGGGCAATGTAATTCTCATAGGTTGCATGAATTAATAGTTACAAGTACAGCTCCCATTTTTGCTTTGTGCAGAGCCCTCCCAAGGCCAGAGGAACAGAACCAGACTGCATTTGTCATACTCCCAGGAAACGTAATCCATAAGCAATCATTGCTGTTAAGTATTAAACAGACTTTTTATACTAGGAACCATTCAGGCTCTTTCACTCCATTAGACTTTGGTTTTAAACAGAAGTCAGTTTACAATGGATACAATAGTTTATTAATGGAATGTATGCGGGTTTCTCTCTTCCATCCTTCTTCTTACTCTCAGCACCTTACACACAGATGTCAAAGCAGCCTTGAATCCAAGCCAAGGACCAAAGTTAATTTCAAGGCAAAATGAAGAGAGGTTGAAAGTTAAGACTGGCACCTTTGAGAGCCTAGTTCCTCGAGTGTTCATCTGGTTCCTCAGACTAACAGGCAAATTGGTGTTTCTTCTTTCCACACCTTGATCTACCTGCTTCTTCCTGATTCGTGTTCATTTAAAGTCTTCTTATACAGGTCACATGCTCCACGAGGACAGTATAAAGTTACGCCTGCTCTAACGCTCTTTCAGCTATTGCAATATCCCTTTTTAGTTCAAATTCAAAAGCTCTACTGTTACCTCTTTGTGATCTTTTGTAACAATTGAGTTTATCTTTGGAATTTTACAAAAATGGAAAGAGTCTTTTTTTCAAAATATAGAGCACTGTGGCCAGGAATAAGGCGAGGGCAAGGAAGATGAGCAGCTTGTCTGTCAGCTCCCTGCGATTGTACTTGGTTATTAGCTTCCGCCCCAGCTGAATTGTCCCAGACATGGACTTAAATTCTTCATTTGCTTCCAGGATGGTTCGTGAAGAATTGGCTGAAGTTGAGGAGAAAAAAAGAAAATATCAGCTGGTTGCATTTCAGAAATACCTGACAAAAGATATAAGGATGCAGTATTTGCTAATACAGATAGCGCCTGTGAGCTCCTTCTGGGTCAGACTGACTTATGGGTAAGACAAATGCAGACTCTGTTCTGACAGAAGCTTTCACACCTCAGCAGTCCTGATGTGCTAAGGAAAAATGCAAAGCAAAACCAGAGTACTGAATGGCTTAAAGGCTCTATGTCCTGTTCCTGAATTTTTCAAGTTTTAGCTTCCCAGATAAAATCCAGTTCACACATTTAATGGGAACAAAAATCAGTGCTACCTGAGGGCTCACTGGAAACAAGTGACGTAAGAATGGTGCCAGAGACATCAATTTAATAGAGAAATCACCATCACTGTCAGCATGCATTCTAGCAGCAATGGGACAGGTCAGTATTTGAGTATAGTAACTGCACAATCCAAACTGTTCCCCCTTACCAGAGCAGTAATTCAGAGTGATTCAGATGGGCTTTCTGACAGTGAGAAAGCAGCATCAGCAGTCAAAAATCCTTAATTGCTCAGCTCAACTTAAGGAGTTTTTAATAATTATTTTTGACAAACTTTTTTTTTTTTCCTAATAAGAAATTAACTAGAGGAAAAGTGATGACTGGTCTCAACTAAAGGCAAAATTTGAGAATATGCCAAAACAGCAAGATGGAACATTGGTCCCTTTTAACCTCTCTTTCCCTGTGAGGAAACAAACAAATACCCCAAACTCTTCAGCCTTCCTCCTTTCAAATTACTAAATGACAGCAAAAGCCCAGGAGTTCCCTTTTTCTTCAACTATGGAATGCATCCCATACACTGCATACATACAGAATGCGTGCAACTGGAAATGCTGGTACATCACTCTGTGCTGAACTGATTGATCAAAGAAAAGTCAAACTCCAAGCACGTTGCCTGGTTCACAAAAACAAGCACAGCAGAACTACATCCGTAAGGTTCTTTAAACCATTACATCTTAAAAAAGCATTCTGATCCAAGTGAAAATAGAAAACTTGCTTCTCATCATTAATGACAAAGCAGAGCTTCCCCACTTTACAGCCACGTGTATTCACTGTGTGCTAGGAAAGGACTTGGTAAGAAGGAAATTCTAACTCTGATTCAGAATTTGCAGCTGGGGTTTGTAAATGACCTTTGGCAGTTTTTCCCCTGATGAACTCCAAGTGCTGTTCAGTCAGAAACAGGGTGAAAAAGTGGCTGCCAAACTGTCTTTTTAATGGGAAAAGAAACATGCTACTTTTGCAGGAACAACCGGTGCCCAGCTGCCATCTTCAGATGAGGGCAGAAAACAAAGAGAAAAAAAAGTTTTATCTTCATCTTTATTTATCCTCATCTTTAAACTGTTCCCTCTCCTGCCCAAAAGCAGAGCTAGTAAGAGGCCCAGACAACACAGATCCAACATCCAAATGCTTCATGAATCACCAGTTTTGACAGGTCACTTGATTTATGGTCTTGGGAGTCTGAGCCAAAGAACTGGGTGAAATCTTGGTTTCACAGTCCCTGATGCACTGCTGACAGAGCAAGTGACCTTGGGTTCAAGTCACTTGATCTCCTTGTCTCTTAGTCATCCCAGCTGGAGACTGGGTGAAAAGAGTATTCCAGCCATACCAAGTTTCCTCTGTGTATGGACTTGCACCTATGCTTTTATTTTCTCTGCTGTTACCAAATGCATGCCAGGACAGTAGCACTAAGAAACACCAAACACGTTCTCAGCACTGTGTGAGCTCACAGTGCTTTTACAATTGCTTTAACATGAAACTAAACCAAAAGATCTTCATCCTGCCCCCTTTTCATAATCATGAAACAGAAATCCCAAACAGCTCCACACAATGGACACTATTATGTCGCATTTATGTCTAACTGTTAGAGGAGTTCTGTTGGATGACTCTTTAATTATCATCGTAGTACATTCTCCTGCAGCAAAGCAGGTTTCCACTATACTCCACACCATGTCAGTTTGCCCCTACCCAATCTAACAGGACTGGTGAAAGGTGCTTCAATGATCCAAACCATACCCAAACACCCAAATAACATCCATACCAAGGGTCTGCACGGTCTCCTCACTCTGCTGGACTTGCTGTGACATCATCCTGCTAATGCCCATCAGACTCTCTGTGATGTTACTTGCACTCTCTGCCAGACTTTCCTTTGTAGTCTTCCTAAGAAAGGAAAAAAGTAAAGCAGGAAGGGATAAAATTATGCTTCCAGGTACTGCAGGAAAAATGCTGCTGTCACAGAGCCTAGAACAGAGCTTGGCACCGCACATCTCTGCCAGCGTGCAAAAGACACAACTACTTTTTAAGATTATCTTCACTAAATAATCAAAACAAATTACAAAATATTAAGGCCACGAGCCAAAACAATGGCTAGTGGCTCAGAGTCTCATGGGAGCCCATACGGCACCACTTATTCCTCCATGACTCTACACCTTCAGGAGCTGGTATGGAAGCACTGATACAAACTTTATTATCTTGAGCATCCCATTTGTTGCTTTCAATATAAAAATGATACATGAGTACATCCAGTTTTCCATGTGAGAACAGCTTGTATAATGATCCATTACTTTTTTATAATCCTGATTAGAATTAACATAAAAGATAGAGTAACTCTGAAGGTTAATTTATGCCCTCTTCCACTTAGACATGACAATGCCAAGAAAACCTGGTTATTACAACCCTTAACAGTTTAAATCTCCATCAGAGGTAAATGTACTCATAAATAAAAGCTATGTTCCAGATACAATTAAATAACTTAAAACTGCTATGTCGCTTCTATTTAAATCCAGTTAATACAGCACACGCTATTTAAACCTCAGATCGTACAGTGGGATGGTCCAATACCTTTGTCTTAAGGAGTCTCTTCCCTGAAGCAGTTGATCTTTCTCAGAGTTGTCAATGGCAATTTTGCATGCTAGATTTGCCTTTCTCCAAGCTGCCTGATTGCTGAAATCACAAGAGTACAATGTTATAACATGATGGTATCACTTTGCAAGCGAAAACAATTCTCAGAAAGCACTTACTACTGTAACTGAGCACCCAGATATGCACATGGACTTTATGTTACACCAGAGTAACAATATCCCATCATGTCATTTCTGCTCCTAAGTGTATTGTTTATGGAGCAAGGGAAGCAAACTATGCCAGCTGGCAGATGACAGACTCTCAAGCCACCTACTTACGTTCTCACCTGCTCAAAGGGACAGACCACAGTTAGGGAGTCAGGACAAGAGAGAAGAAAGGAAAAGGGAGTCCTACTCTTTCCATTCCTGATCCTTCTTTGGTCTTGGGCAAAACAGCATCATGTCAGCAACTGCATTTGCAAACAGGATCCAAAAGACGCTGCTGTACAGAAGCCAGATTATCTCTGGTTTCAGGGCACCAGCTGCCCGACCCACCTGAGCATTTGCTTCTTATGGTTTTCCACTTCCCGCAGCAAGGCTTGTTTCTCTGACTCCTTATCCTGCTCCTTTGCCATCTGTTCGAGCTCCTTTGGTGGAAAGCAGAAACACGAAAGCCCGATCAACAACTGCTGCCACCGGCAACCCGCACACCCCAACCCCGACCAGGGAGCGCTTTAACAGCGGATCGATACAATGAACTAACAAGCCGCAGCCGGGACTCCCGCCTCGCACCAGCCGCCCCACGGCAGGCCGCACGGTGCAGGCCGGTCACCGCAGCGGCCTCGGCCGGGAACCTCACCTGAATGCGGCCACGGAGGTGGCGGAACTTCTCTTTCACGGCGGCATTGAGCTCCGTGAGGGCGCTGAGCGGCCCCGGGCAGTCCCGGATGTCCTGGAAGACAACGGCCCGGTCAGCGCGGCCTTGCGGCGGGCATCACCCGGCCCGGCCGAGGCTTCCCGCACAAGGCGGCGGCCGCCCCGCAGCCCTGGCAGCGGAGACCCGCCGCGGGGCGGTACCTGCACGGCGGTACCTGCACGGCCGCCTTGATCTCCAGGTCGAACCTGACGATCTCCTGGTGGCAGACCCGTACCGGCACGCAACCGGCCGCCGCCATCTTGGGAACGGAGGGGGAGGCCGAGGCCCTCCCGCCTGGCCCGCGGGCGCCCCCTGCGGGCGCCGTCCCGCACAGCCGTGGCGGGGGCTTGGCTCAGGGCTGCCCGCGGGGCGGCGGTTCCGTAGTGCTGCCGGTGGTGCCGATTCCATAGTTACTGGGTAGTGAAACGGTGAATTCAGGCGCTGCGTTGGAACCGTGGAAAGGCGATTCGTTAGCAGAGGAGGGCTAAGGTGGGTCCCTTTGCCCTTATGAGCCAAAGGAAGGCCCCAGAGCAGCACCGCCCATGGCACTGGGAGAAGCAGTGGTCGCAGCATGGCTGCACAGTTCTGCACCCGACAGACCGCCCCGGGTTTCTGCGCGGATGGGAAGGTCTCTGACCCTCAGTACCAGGGGGTGGCCGGTGTCCATGTTGGGGGAACAACACGAGGTTCCGCTTGTGTCCCGGAGAGGGGGAGCGGGAAGACAACGCAACGGGACAGCCCCTTTGCCTTTTCCCTATCTCGCCCCCTGCATTGCTGTGCTCCCCTCCTGCCCTCAGACCCTGCTCTGGAACACACCAGGTTTGGACAACGCAGGCTGGTGTTGAAGATGGAGACCAACCAAAGGAGCTGCTGAGCTGCAGCCCGGGCTCTCCCGATGGTCCCTCCATGCTGGCCATTGACAGGCAGCTCTTGGCAGGATCGCTGACCAGGGGGAACACATTCTTTCCTCGCCTTGCTCCGCTCCCCTCCAAGGAAAGCTGACAATACCAGGAGGCCGAGGGCCGCACACGCCGTCCGCTGTCACTACACACAATGATTCGAGATGGCATTTCCTCCACAATTTTTATTTTAAATTACAAAGGATGTTGCATACATTGATGAATCCGTATCTGAATAGAAGTGCTAGGGATGGGGGGTGACAGAGTAAACAAAGTCAAGAGTTTAATTGTGCCTCTTCGAAAAAAAATAACTGCACAACTATTAACCAACATTTAACATTGCAACTCTTTAACAGATCATGCTTGTAACAAGGTAAATTTATTTGCTAACAGAGACAAGACTTTCAGTAAGTGTTTCTGAGCTCCAGTTGGAAGTTGACTATAGAATACAGCATTACAATCATAACCCCAAGCATAGGCAGAATAGGATGCCATGTTTTCAAATGCTTTTATCTTTTTACCTGTCAACCACCTTCACCTGCACGTGTCATCAGCCTTAAGAGTTCACCCAACCACAAATACTGAGCAACAAATTTTACTTGGATATGATGTTCTGCAAGGATCGATGATTCCAATCAGAATGTATGAATACGCATCATTATAAGAAAGATTAGTAAAAATTAAGTGCTGCTACTAGGTTTTGCTTCTTAATCAGAAGATTTTGGTAGGGCAGAGCATGGTTTTGCCAATAGCAAATCTAATCCAGATTTCCTCACAGCAGCTAGTTAACTCACCCAAGTCTGATTTACACCCAACTGCAGAATATTCTTAAGAAGAAATCTGAACATGACTGATGTGCTCTAAAAAGCTTGGAGGTGGTTTGGTTTTCTTTCTTAATGGAAAAAAGAAGAAAGCGTAGCTTAAAATAGCTCTGGCTCTACTTTTAGCTCCACAGCTCATTAGAAAGACAATAAATGCATAGTCAGTATTTGCTCTTGTGGAAGTTCATGAATGTCTAAGAGGCTGAGGATTATAATTCAGTGCGCACACACACCTTCTTATCATGCTAGAAGCATTGGGGGAAAAAACATGGCATATTGTGAAATGTAAATTGTAGAAGGATAGAGACATTTTTGTATGCTGCAAAGAAGATACAACCTAAAAGTGCCATCTTTCATTAATGACACTGAAGAATCCCAATTTATATTGGGAGATATTAAAGAGTGGTGTTTTCTCAACATACTAATGCCCTTAATACAGTTACACGAAGCGTCAGTCACTGAAGCAAGCAGTAACTGTTTGAAATGTACTTCACACAATCCCTGGGGTAAGCAAAATAAACCTCAGCTGTGTGCAAGGCTGTGTCAATAAGCCAAGACCACATCTAGCAGCACACTTAACTAGACGATTCCAACTGAAGCCTCCGACTCAAAAAGAAAAGAAAATCACGATTAGATGCATTCTTGAAATTCAGGTCTCAAGGCCAAAACCAGATCCTAACATTCACGGTACATAATTGGGTTATGCCTCAACAGAAGTTCAGGAAGACTTGCAAGCACGTTTGAGGAACAGAATTGCATCTACTATTTCTGCTGAAGGCAACTTGTATACAACCCTTTGAAATTCTCCTGATAAAGTCTTTTAGAGCTTTAAAAAAATAGCTATGTTTAAATGATTTATTGAGAAGAAAAGCACATCCAGTCTATTTTGTGAATAAGCTACATGTCTTATTAATGAAGGCAAATATCAGATAAATATTGGGGGAGGACTTTCTAAAATAAAATCAAAACTGACACGACTGTATTTCAGAAGTATCTGGTTGCTTCTAGATGAGTCAAAAGACCCTTTGCCCATTTAAGTTTTTTGTTTGTTTCTTCTTAAAAACACTTTTTCCTGGCCCTTTCAGTATGGAAAAGACATCTACCTATAAGGATTAGGAACTCAACACAGCGGAGCCCGACTCTCACATCAGCTTTACAGCAATGCAACTTCATCAAATCACAATGATTTCAACTGGTATGGTAAGAAAATCCAGCCCATCCACACGTAAACATAGCTTTAGTAGTAAGTCTCTCATCCAAAAAAAAGTACTCACCAGGTATCAGTATATGTGTTCAATAAACCATAAAAGGAAGCGTTAGCAAAAAGGGTTTGGGGCTAAAAAACACCCTTCACGAGCACCCCCACATTTTGCAAGGCCATTCAAAAACTGGTCTTCCATAGAGATACAAAAGGACTACTACTGAGAGAAACTGAAATCAGATCTATCCAGACTTTCTTCAGGATGCTTTTATGAGTTGTGATTCAATTTCAGAAGGGTTAGGTTTGAGGAGTTCAGAGGGAATGAAAAACATTTAGTTCTAGATGTACAAGTAAGGCACAATATAAAGCCACATCATCATCTGTTATGAAGGAAGTAGGAAAGGACAAGAATCATACATGGTACAGTAGAACAAGCAGTCCATCAATTCAAAGTGTGGCACCTAAGTTCAGACTGACAAGATCTCAACAAGAGCAGTTATGACAGCATGCTTTTAATATGGAAACAAATTCTAGAGAATCCAGTGTATCAGAAAAAGGAAGAGCTTTTGTTTGTATTAAATCAAAAATATATAATTGCTTTTGGATATAAGATTAAAAGTGAATACTCACAATGCCTACACTCAAAACCAAACAAAAAAATCCAGGACTTCATTAAGATCCACATACCATGTATGAACACTGAAAATCTTTAGAAAACGGTCTTCTCTAAAGATCATCCAAAAATGCATGCCACAATTGCCAAAAAACAGAACATGTACATTTGTTGGTTTTTATACCCTTATAAGATTTTTGTTTGTGATAAGTATACACTAAATGTATATATTTTAATGACACTAGAGGAAGCAGATTGTTACTGGCATTAAAGTACAACCATTTCTAGACGGTTTAAATGCCACAGAGTCCCCTGGTTAAAATGTAAAGCTGCACAGCTTGCCTATGTCACCTTTATGATAAAGTTAAACCAGCAAAAGGTCTTATCTTTACTCTACATTTTACTGCCAGGTTTTATTTATATCAAGTATCGCTGCAGCATTCTGACCAGCCCAGAGTTAGCAGCAAGTGGCAGGAATCATATAAAACGCAGTTTTCTTTTTTTTTTCTTTTTTCTCCTTTTTTTTTTTGTATTTTTTTTTAAACAAAGTGCTTTTCTAAGATATACATACATATAAATAGTTACAAAATAAAGTGTCAACATTAAAAAGCTCAACTATTTAAAAGCTTTTAACTTAAAATAATACATAGAAAACACGAAATGCAAAGGTATGGAATTCACTAAAGATTCAAAGACTACTTTGAAATGCTAGACCAAAATCATATTCTGGTTTTCAGACAAAAATAAAAAGCTATAAAGTTGTATTTGCCCAGTACTTCTGAGCAGTAAAAAAGGGGCTTTTTAAATACCTTGTCAGTTTAATTTGTCACAGAAGTTTTTACCTGATTGCAAAACTGCTCTCAACATTTAGAAATGCTGCCTTGCCTACACAGTTTGGATATAGTGTAAGGAGCTCTCATATCTGAGCAGTGAGGCAACACCATTCATCAGAAAGGAACAACAGTATTCAAATCTTGGTACAGACATGGCCTTAACTTCACAAGAGACATTCTTTGTCGGGGTTTTATGGGCCGTATGTATCTCCGGAATAACTGCAACATCAGCAATAATTACAATAGGAATACATCTGACCCACTGTGTAAAGCAGCAGCCAACTCTAACCTCACCTTGACAACAACGACAAGAACAACAACAACAACAACAACAAAAACACCTGAAACAAAACCACCCACATTCCACTCAGATTTTGCAAGTCTTAAGTGGATTTACAGAGTTTTTCCTAAATTGCCCTGGGTATTTGTTTAGTCTCTTGTAGGAAAGACTTTCTGTACAGCTCAGTAGTGGTATTTTGGCCTCCTCCTCCCTTTTGAGTCTTCCAAAATATTTAGACATAAAGTAAGCTGTGTGCACGCTCACAAGTATGTGGCAGGAGTGCCACCTTCATCGGCCACTCTTACTGCGCTATTACCGATCCAGACTTTGTTTTTATAGTACAAGCTTGGATATAAAAATAATCTACTTATAAACAAAAAGGAATCACAGTACAAAACAAACTCAGACAAACTAGAAATGAAGTGGAGAAATTCCCCAAAGGGAGCGGGGAAAAAGCCTTCATGGACTTTTGCATTTTTCTTTTCAGCAGCTACATTTGAAAATATTTGGTATTTCTATTTTCAGTAAACAGTGTTTTGTCATCTTAAATAGGGAGAGAAAGAACAGGGAGGAAAAGGAAGGGGGTCCATGAAACCAGAGAATGATCTTGCCTTGAGATAAAGGACTTTCTCATCAAAGGCTAAAGCTTTTAATCTGTACGTTAACACTGACTACAAAGCCAAGTCTT